CGTGTCTCGAATTCTCTATCGCATTCAATGATGTTGTTTCAAGCTTTGTTAGCATGTTCTCTACGAGTGCGTTCAATCCATCCAACTGATACAATTCAAGTTCGTTGAAATAATCGTCCACGTGGTCTTGTTTCATTATTTCGTTCATCACTTGCCGAGATTCTTGGAGTTCACATCTCGTTTCCCATTTCGATACATTTTCTCTCTCCTTTTTCGTTATTTTCTCCGTGAATTTCTCGTGCTTAACCATTCTTCTTCTTTTCTTGAAATCTGAATAATCGAGAAATTTATGCAGACTTTCTCTAAAAATCGGAGGGGATGGCCACAACATTGCATTGTCTTCTCCTAAATCGTAACGACGATGTCGTTGTTTATGGATTATTATTGCAACCTCGACTCCACAAAGGGTGGAGAGTTCATTTGCTTTCTTGACCAAACCGTCTGTCTTTTTCTCGAATGTTTCATTTCTCTTGCTCTCATTAGGTATTAGTTCATGTTTGGTCCTTGCGCTTGCCATGGTATTGTTTTGATTGTATATTTATGATTTATCTATGATTTTTTGGATTACTTTCACAATGTAATTTGGATATTGGCTCATGTATTATATAAAAAATGAATGAATTATAAGTTTATAACTGCTGGCAACTAGTAATTATGAAATCTTTTGACAAATAGTTGCACTAAGATATGATATTTATTTAAGACGATTTTGATGATTGTATATTAAATGCAATTCCAAATTAATTGATTAATTTTAATCAATTTTGTTATATAATTTTCATTATGTCATTCCTCCATCAAATACTTGTACGACCAAGAGATGGGGTCTTGGGGGCGACGGATTTCACCTTTTGGTACATGGTATATAATTTTCAACTTCTATCTTTAATTAACAGGTTATAAATTAAATACATACATCACACGAATATCCACGGCAAACATGAAAATTTCCAATTTACTTGTGTAAACCAATTTCTCCATATGTCAATTAATTGTAGGGAAATTGTGAAAAAGTAAATGATGAGACTTGAGAGCATTTAATTGAAAAAAAAATATATTTATTTTTTTGAGGCAGAAGGATTTATTAGGCCAAATTGGCTAAAGCAAAAGGAAGGAGAATTCCTCCATTACAGATTGTTCCAAGTTTTGTGGCAAGAGAGCGTGCCATCAGATTACCACTTCACTTGACAAAAGAAAAAATACAAAAAAATCAAAAGATCTAGCTAAAATCAAGCAGTCCTCAACATAAGCTCCAAACGACGAGGGTATGAAATCTCCATCATTAAGTGCATTAATAACTTGCAAGCAATCCCCTTCCAATATAATCGAACTCCAGCCTTTTAATCTCGCCCACGAGATAGCTTCAAGCACCGCTTGTACTTCACGGTCTACTGCGTGTGGTTGACTGTTAAGTGTATATTTTTACACTTTATCGTATCTTTTTATTTGAGCTTTTGGTGTGTTTTAACGATAATTGGTGCTTAAAAAGTTGATTTATTGTATTTTAGGTACAAATTGAAGAATTGGAAAAGTATGGGGTCAAAACTGCAATTTTGGAGAAAATATGGGTCAAAAGTGAAAAAATCAAAATTCTGAAGATTTAAAGCTCGGACCTCCGTCCGAGATTTAGTTCAAATTGTGGGACCCCCGAACGAGACTCCGAAGCTGCGCAGTAAAGGAATTTTAATTGCACATGGAAACTGCCTTCTTCCCCAAGTTCTTCACCCTATATAAGACCAACCCAAGCACACAATTGGGGATCTTTTTACGCAATTTCAAGAACAACAAAGCAATAACGAAGACGAAGAATTCGAAGACTCTAAGCAACGATTTATCATTTATGATTTATTTTATTTGTGTTTTTCCTTTAATCATGAGTAGCTAAATTTCTTATTTCTAGGATTTTATTTGGAACCCTGTGTGGGATTTATGAACCCAATTCTATGATTTTATGCAAGTTTTAATTCCGGATTATTTCTTCTACTTGTTTTATTATGTTCATGAAACTGGCCACTTTATGCGCTTTTATGTTATTGTTAATCGCATGAATCGGAAATCGGGTTAATAATTAGAACTGTGGTAGAAGAGCCTTTGTGGTATTAACATAGGAATATAGTTAATCTCTTAGGTAGCCATTATTGAGATTTGTGTTTAATGCTGTGTTCTAGAATTAATTGCATAGGAATATAGTAATTGAATCTAGGGTATTAGAATCGTAATACACGCGGAAGCGGGTTACGATTATTTTAGCATCTCAGGTTAATAATCCGGGTTAATTGCTTGCATAATTGAAGGAATTGGGGGAAATAATAATCACATAGGGGGAAGAATAAAATCCTAGGCTTGTTTACTCTGATAAATCTTCGTGTTTAATTTGCTTTCTTGCTTTGTCGTTTTAATTTGCTTTTTAATTTAGTTAATTCTCTCAAAATTCGACTGTGTAGGGTGGGCTTGATAATAATTGGTAGAATTTAGCATCTAGGATTAGATAATTAAATATTCCCTGTGGGTTCGATATCCGGACTTTTAGTCCACTATATTAGTTGTACGATACGTGCACTTGCGTGTAGGTTTTCGGCCAACAAGTTTTTGGCGCCGTTGCCGGGGAATATTTTAATTATTTATTTTATTCTAGCTCGAGATTTGAACAATTTTCACGATTCACCCATTTAATTTTATTTTTATTTTTTTAGGTACTGTGTATGCGTAGAAGACTCGATCTTGCTAGAGAACCGTTTGATCCCGAAATCGAATGTACTTTTCGAGCGGCTAGGAGACTTCGACGCGAAAACAATATAATGGAGGACGAAGAACGCAGGGCTGCGGACAATTTAATCGAGGCCAACGGAAACCAAGTCCAAGACCCACCCCCTCAACTTCCAGCACAGCCAGCAGTTCGTCCACGAGCACTTCAAGATTACATAATCCCAACTCTAGACGGATTCCGCCCGAGCATCCAATATCCACCCATTGAGGCGCACAATTTTGAGATCAAGCAAGGCCTTTTGACGATGCTCCAAAATAACGGGCTATTTAGTGGGTGGGCAGGTGAAGATCCCCATCTTCACATTGTCAATTTTCTAGATACCTGTAATTCCCACCGTCAAAACGGCGTTTCCCAAGAGGCACTTCAATTAATTCTCTTCAAGCACTCCCTACAAGGAAGAGCTCGCCAGTGATTGATGTCCCAAGCCCCCCACTCTATCTCGTCGTGGCCTCAACTCCTCAACTTTTTCATGAAAGTTTATAGCTCACCCGAGAAGGACGAGAGAATCCGACGAGAAATTCATAATGTTGTCCAAGAGCAAGGCGAGCAATTATACGAGGCATGGGAGAGATTTAAAACTCTTTTGCGGCAGTGTCCAACACATGGAGTCGAACAATGGCGGCAAATCCACATCTTTTACCAAGGGATTAACGAGAATGCACGAACGGTCTTAGATGCATCAACCGGGGGGGATTTTATGAGTCAATCGATACCGAATGCTTTTATCATGTTGGATCAAATTGCTCAAAATCGGTTTGCCAAGTCAAGCGAGAGGACGATTAGTGGAGCCAAGAAAGTTCCCGGAGTGTTGGAGTTAGATGCAATTACGGCCCTTCAAGCTCAAGTGACCCAAATTGCTCAACAAAATCAACTCCTTCTACAGCACATCAAAGCAAATCCACCACAACAAGTCCAAGCCGTTGAATCTCCATGTTGTGAAATTTGCGGTGGAAATCATTACACGCTCCAATGCCAACAAGATGTGGAGTCGCTCAACTACGTCAACAATGCACCTCGCCAATTCCAAAATCAAGGGTGGAGATCACAAGGGAAATATGGAGGAAATCAACAAGGCCAAGGGTATCAAAGACCTCAAGGTCAATTCCAAAATCAAGCCCCTCCTCAACAAAGCTATCAAGGCAACAATCCATCGGCCCAAAAATCAAACACGGAGGAGATATTGGCCCAATTCATGACCGCCACCCAAGCCTCGCTGCGGAATTTGGAGAATCAATTCGCTCAATTCGCTTTGAATCAAGAGAACCGTCCGGCAGGAGCATTGCCATCGAATACGGAAGATCCTCGAAAGCAAAAGATCGAGACGTGCCAAGCTATCGATTTCAAGATCGAGAAAAAAGAAGAAATTCAAGTCAAGCCGCAAGTCACTGTAGCCGAATGGGTCGAGCCAATCCCATATCCACAAAGATTGCTAACGAAAAAGATCGAGCTCGAGACATGCCAAGCAGTCACCTTGAAAAACGGTAAGCAATTGGAGGAAGCCCCGCGAAAAGAGAAGAGAAACACGGTAATCGAGAAGCCAAAAAGAATGAGGAAAAAGAATCATCTCATGACGAGCCACCATCGACGGTGCCTTCACAAGTCCCTCCAATTCCTTATCCTCAAAAGTTTATAAAGAAGAAGCTCGACGCCGAATATCAAAGATTTTTGGACAAGTTGAAGGAAATTCGCATAAATATTCCTTTCATTGAAGCACTTCAAAAGATGCCAAAGTGGGTGAAGTTCCTCAAGGACCTCGTGAAGAAAAGTAAGAAATTGCAAGGGAACGAGATGATCCAACTCACGGAGCAAATTAGTGCAATTCTTACTCGGCCCCTTCCACAAAAACTCGGCGATCCAGGAGATGATGGCGGAAACGGGAATAGGACGGAGCAAGTTTACTTCATAGACTCAATTTTAAATCCTCCGAGAGAAAGTCATACGAGTCGAGATCTTAACGACGATGAGAATGCGAGGAAGATGTTGCCACCCAAAGACTCAAGCAAGTCACGAGAGAAGGATGAGTCAAGCTATTGTGGTCGTAAGGAGAAAATCAAAAAGGAATTGCACAAAGGACAATTGGTGTTATTGTGCAAATCCCATCTTTGGTTATTTCCAAGGAAGCGCAAATCAAAGTGGTCGCGGCCGTTTATTGTCCAAGAAATTCTTCCTCACGAGGTGGTCAAAATAAAGGAGCGAGATTCAAACCGTACGTTCAACGTGAAGCGGAACCGGCTCAAACCATATTGGGAAGCGAATGAAGATTGCCAAGTGACTTCGGTCACTTTTGCTTGAAAATAAAGAAGCAACGTCCGGCTGAAGACTTTAAACTTAGTGCTTCTCGGGAGGCAACCCGAGTTTTATTGTTTTTTTGTTTTTCGTAGTTTTCTTTAATTTTTCGTTTCGTTTTTATTGTCATAGGCATGCATTCTAATTAATTTATTTGAATTTTAATTTTCAGGGTCGAAAACATGGTCAGGGGGTCCAGACGGCCGTCCGAAATTGCAAGCAAAATCCCAAACGGCCGTCTGGGAAACAGAAGGCCGCAATTTGCAGCTCTGCCTGTGGGACGGCCGTCCCACAACCAGTAAGGGCAAAAAAAAAAAAAAAAACCGGACGACCGTCCGAAAAAGAGCACAAAAACCGGGACGGCCGTCCGAGTTAAAAATTGGGTGTTTTAAATTTTATAAAATTAGATTTTCTCCCCCAATATTTCCTAAACCCTCCTATTTTCTTCTCTCAAACTCCCACACACAAATTTTTGAATTTTTTTTCGAATTTTTCTTCCAAAGTTCACAATTTTTTTTTCTTTTGTTGGTGTTGACAGGGAGGTTAGAGAATCGAATCAAATTCTCCAAAATCTACTTATTTGAGAGACCTAGGGAGGAGACCCCGATCACATCGACTCCAACTAAATCAGGTGTTTTCTATCCTTAAAACTTTGTGCTAATTTCGTTGAGGGCAACGAAAATTTTAAGTTTGGGGGTGAAAAACATATGTTTATGCTTATTTGTTTTAGTTTGCATGCATTAGGCTTTATTTGTTTTTATTGTTTTTATTGTT